GTGGGGGACCACAGACACGACCCGCAAAGCCAGAAGCCGACATAAGGGAGACCAGCGCCAAAGACCCCGAGAGGGACCCCAAGCGCGCAGCCCCAGAGACACCTGCGCCGGAAGCTAGCTTTTTTTTTAAACCACTGAACTTCATTGATGAATGGTAAAAAATGTGGGACGAAGCTTACAGACATTAAACACTGTTCTCAGATTTTACTGTCTTAAAGTATTGCAGTGTTTTACAAATTCAAACCTCTTAAAACAGAGTTGTTCCCAACCTATTTTTCATCAAAGCCCCACTTTCTTACTTCAAAGCCAAGCTGAGCTCCCCATTCCCTCGCTACTTCCCCATCTCTCCCCAAGATGTGTACAACCTGTATCTCTTTATCATAATAATAAAACACTAGCGTGAATAATTACAAAATATTTATTTTGAAAGAGAAAAAGCAAGAATCTGAGTTATGGAGTTTTAATTATTTAAATGCACTTGTTTTTGTGTGTTTTTTTAATATACAAACGATGGCTGGGAACCACCGAGTTCAAATGTTCTTTCAATTTTAAAGAAGCTTTATTCGGCAGTGACTTTCGTTCTTTTGCACCATTGCTTTTCASCTTTCATAGTATATACATGTGCAGCGTATGTTCATAAATGTTCATTGTCTGTTTTCAAAAAGTTTCAACTCTTTCACGTTTTCATGTGACAGGATGGATGGTTGAGGGTAATTCTCTGAACAAGGCAGGCTTTTCACACAGTCACTCAGCTTTTGTGATTTATCACTTTTCTGACTGGGCTGGAGGCAAGCCAGTTGTTCTTGATGTCATGTCACTTTGTTCTAGGTGATAGCCGTTTTGCAATGGCTGACTTTTTGTCTTTGTCTTCTTTAGTGTTTCCTACTTTGCCTTTTTTCTCCCGTCTGGTTAATCTGTGCTCCTCTTTGTGCTGTTGTCAAGACTTTCCACTTCATGATGATTGGTACAGAAAGAAAGAAAGAAAAAAGGTTCAAAGAAACAGAAGCTCTGTGAGTAATCTAATATTAGCTCCTCTTCTGCTTGTCTTTCTCTCCAGGTGGTCCATCACGTTGGTCCTCCCCTCCATGTGACTGCTGCTGCAAGAACCACAAGGGGGACGGAGAAGGTGAGAGCGGCACCTCCTTCAACGAGCTCACCACCTCCAGCTCGGAAAGCCAGTCCGAGGCCAGCTCTCCCCAGGGAACGGTTATCTGCGGTCCAGTCAGTCGTCAGTCGCACCCTCATACCAAGGTCCAAACCCTGGACAGGCCGCTGAAGAAAGGCCCGGTTAGCATGCTTCAGCAGTCTGAACAGCGGCGGAAGAGTGACTTACTCCGCACCCTCACAGCCAGCTCTCGAGACACCAGTGGGAGCAAGAAAAGGCCGGCGAAGGAGAAGCTAACTGTTGAGGAGGAGCTGGAAAAGTGCATACAAGACTTCCAAAAGATCAAGATCCCTCCRAGGTTTCCTGAGAGGAAGTACATGTGGCAGGCTGACCTATTGAGAAAGTACCATCTTTGAGCCATGGTGCAAGATGCACAGGGAGAGCAAACACAAGGCCAAGGATCAGTTTGTGTCTTTTTGACCATGAACTTTTGCAACAAAATCAAGTTTGTGGGAAAAAAAATCTTACATATTGAAAATTACCACAGAAACTGAAAAACAGACCACACAAAACAGATTTCTCTCCGATTGGCAAATRTAGTATATACAGTATGTGTGTATGTGTAGTTTAGGCTTATTACATAATRTAGGTATGTGCTGTAACTTGCTGGATGCATCAGTGCTTTGATCAATCTATCCCGTTGGACCAATACATGTGGGCTAAACAAATGAAGGCTTGTCAGTGTTTACACCTGGTGTTACTGATGGCTAATGGATTGCACACACCGTAATCTGCCATCATTTCAAAGAAAAAAAAAATCACAGAAGCTTCAATTCTAGCCCAACACAGATAAACACTGATTTAGTGTGTGTGTTAGTGTGTGTGTTTGCACCCAGGTGGCCTCGAGGTCACAGATAAATCTGCATCAGGATTCATCCATAATTCATGCAGTTCCAACAGCGCTCTCACCATAAATACACCAAGAGATCTCAGCTGCCACGGCGGCATCAGCAGCTGGGCTGATTACTTTAAGGAAACGTTTGGAGATGTTTTGAAGCAGGAGGGGCCACGGCTTCATCAGCATCTCAATTAATCCCCCCCTCTTCTTTGAATCAGTTGGGTCACAAATGTGCCCCCTTGAGAGTGCCAAACAATCATGCACTGCTTTGATTTTTTTTTTTTTTTCGCAACAAAATGTAGAAGTGAAAGAAATGGTCCAACCATAGAGGAAACTCAGAAATGTAATTAAATAAAATGAAGATAAAGTGTTTCGCTTGAATTTTAATCAAGTGAAACACTTTTTCATTTATTTAAATCGGAGGCATTTGGCCATAATCACCTTCACTTCCATATATTCACAGTGAACAATCAATCATAAGGTGATTTAAGCCATATTCAATATGACATCTGCTATACAGATAAAATAGGGCAAAATATTTATTTCCTTAATCTGCTTTCACAGTAAGAGGCTTTCCAAACTGACTGTTGACAAGGTAATCAATAGTTATTTATGATGAGTCTGATGATATATGTAGTTCTTGTTTGCAGTGTGTAATGAAGTGCTTGGGTACCTGACAAAGCAGCTCACATATTCAGTGGAAAGTAGCCATCATTCATGTTTTGTTTGTTTTTGCCAGAGTCAAAAGGACGTGTTGCAATGGAGCTGCAGAAACAAAAATGGCAGACAGTCATGCTAAATGATCACGACCCACGGATACAATTTAATTCCTTCTAGAGACTAACGACATACGTAAGGCCTGTACTGCAAAATATGTTTCTGCTATGAGYGTTTGGCCAGTTCTTTGTAGGTGCAAATTAAATAAGCATAATAGCAAAAACACATAAACACCTCATTATAATTAAATTACAAGATAATCTTTTTTTAGTTTTTATGTGCATTCATGGGCGGCAGTTGTGCAGCGGTAGGGCAGACAAGAAAGTAACTGGTTCAATGCCCCGCCACACGTCGAGGTGTCCTTGAGCAAGACACCAAACCCCACAACTGCTCTCCTTTTGTTTCATGCCCACTGCTCCACTTGGGTGTTTCTCATGTGTGATGGSTCAAATGCAAAGCACACGTTTCATCGTTGTATGGAAACATGCATTGATGACAAAAAAAAGTACATTTACAATACCACTGACAAATTAGATCATTTCTATAGTTTATTATTCAGAACAATCTAAGAGTAAATACAAAACAAATTTTATACTTTTATTTATCTAAAGTCTATAGAAATTGACAGATTTGATGGACTGGAAAAATAAAAAGAACCTATATGAATTAATATTATTTTCATTATTGTTATTGTTTTTTTTCTGCTTGCCTTAGAGTTTACTGCTAAATGTGACCTGAGAACCCTTCTTGACATGTTCATTTTAGATCCAGTCTGGATGTTTGCTAGTAAAAATATTTTTTAATAACATTGTTTGCTGGACCAAGGAAATATGCTTATATTAAATTAAAGCATCATGTATATTGTACAACAACTAAACCAAGAACTGTATGTACTGGAGGCAAAAACTTACTATTACATTGTGGAACAAAGTAGTATTTTTTTCCAGTCAGAGGAAGCAAACATAGATGGATGTCTCTCTATTTCAGCTGTTAACAGGGTTAGAGTTACGTACATAATTTAACTATTTGAAAACATTCACTTTTCACAATGAGTCTTACAGAGGAAAATCTATCCACCATATTTTTATTTATTTTGTATGCCAAACATGAAATTTTATTTTAATAGCATCTTCGGCTGTAAATATTTTTTTACAGGCTTGACATTTCTGTCTTTGTCGTTCACTTGCCCACTTTCTTTATTTTTAAATTCACACTGCACAATATCATGGTCAGGCACAGAAATGGGATAGAAAATGTGTGTATAGGAAACCAAATAGTCAAAATTATCAAAGTCCCAATAGCCATTGATCAAAAGAAAAAAAAAGAAAAATATAGGTGATTGAAAATTTTTGCACATTTGTCATTTATGTTGATAGCTTTGTGTAAAATATAAGTAAACAAATGTATAATAATAAATTCTACATTGTTTTTTTTATAATTTGAGTAGTAATAGTTAAAGGACAAATAAGTGCAGTTTTTTTAATTGCTGTATTTTTAGCTCCCATGTATTAAAAAGCGCGTAAAATACTTTCATTTTTTTAGATATACATTTTTATTTAAACTGTTTTGCTTGTATAAAGAATTCATGCTTTATTAAAAGTATTTTTATATCTAAAGTCCTGTGATTTTATGTATCATAAAAAACTCATTAAAATGCCAAGAAGATGTATTTCTTGTCCACAGATACCTGTTTTCACTGGCACCTAATAATGGTTTATTATAATACAGAAAAAATGGCTGCAGTGAGTGCTTGACACAAAAAACATCTTCCTCATGTCCTATGCGAGGAATCGGACAATTTTTAACACTTCTGAACTATTATATTTTTACTTTAATTTATTTTCTGTTGAAATCTGTTAATTTAGATCACATATTATTTGTAAATAAACACTACAAATCATCATCATGCAGAACAAAGTATTATATGTACATAACATTCAAATATAGGAGGCCTGGTCTCAGCGGTGCAGTCGTCCCCCCTAATGTAATTCACATTGTCTTGTTTATTGTTTTGTAGAAAGATAAAGAAMAATATACACCTTTACCATAATATATATTTTGGCTATAACAAATGACATGCCAAGAAGTTTTTTTTTTTGAGAAAATAGTGTCATAAATGGACAGTGAGCACATTTGTCTTATAATGCTGCAGAGGCATTTACCAGAGATGACAATATTTTAGCAAACACAGCTGRCCCCTTTAAAACTCTCATCTTACACATTTTTTTTCCATTCACTAAAAATTGATCCAGTAGCATCTTTACAACTTTAAAGACAAACTGAACTTTGGATTGTGTAAAAAGTCTCACCTCTGAAAGCCACTAAATAAAAAAAGTTAAACTATAAATTATCTCTATCTGAATTATTGTGAAAGTTGCTTTATTTTTCTAATCTAAATTATATTTATTGAATGTTCTCATATGAAGATGCACAATAATAAATTTTATCATTCTTGTTTGCAGCTGTGTAATGGACCTTTTGGCAAAATTGAACAAAGCATAACTACAAACAACATTTAAACAGAATTTAAGCTATCTAAAATTATATTAAGTTTTTGTGATTTTACATCTATTATGATTACAGTTTTCAGTTAGTTTTATATTCTCAGTGTTGCCTTGACAACAAAGCTTTTGTCATTGGGAAGAAAAGGATATACAAAGTTATGAGCATATTTAGCTTACAGTATATGCATGTTGGTGAGGTTTATGGGAGCTAATAATTACATTTAGTTCTGATTGATGATATGATTTCTAGTTGTCAATCAAATCAATAAATAATATATTAAATCCTAAAAAAACCGGTCTGGATAAACATTGTTTCACGGTTTATACAGTATGTGGTAACGTGCCAGCACTGACTTACGTTCAAATATGGCATATCATTTTTGATTATTTTTGTTAATTTTGTCACTTCTTTTTCTGCCTGACAACATGAATGTTTTGGGTCAGATTTTCCAACCTGGTTTTCATTGAGAAAATACTTAGGAAACCAGTGGCACTAATTATGGCAATTTAATATCAAATTCTGATTATAAACAACTCTGGAACAGGTTATGTTCAGAATATGCTGCCCTAGTGAACCAGTGAGCTTAAAACCACTTTTTAAGCCATTTCCACCCTTTATCAATTTAGCTAAGAAATTTTTTTCACATTCCATTGTATTTTCCTTTAGGATCTTAAACTGTGTTGAAGCACAAACAAAGAATGATAAAAGCACATCCATTTTAAAGTCCCACAAGATGACAATGTATTTTCATTACAAAACACAAGATGACTTATCAACAAGAAAAATAACAGCAAAGACTGTTCAGGGCAGAAAACTTACACAATGTGTAAGTTTTGAGTGATTGTCAACCTTTTGTTATTGTCCAACACAAACTGTTGAAAGCTATGCTTTTTTGTTGCTTCGGCTCCTTTGTACAAAAGAATAAATKTAAGATTCAAAGATATGCTTAATATTGCCTTCATCTTTTTCAGCAGCCAGGCACCTATCTGTCTTCTGTAAGGGAAAAATGATTGCAAACACAACATAAAGCCGAATAGACCATTTTTCAAACAAACACCTTGATCAATGAATTCAGCGATTTGTTCTTAAAATAATCTTGCTTTTCTCCCAACGAGACTGGAGACCAAATATGGGTAATAACGATTTTGAAGAACCACAACAGAATCCACATTTCTGACATAGTGCTTGTCAATATGTCTGAGTTTAAATGGACATAATTCTCAATTTTTACAGTTTCTTATCAGTCTGTTACAGATCCCATCAGTTCAGMACAATACCAGCTCACAAACAAGGTCTGCACTTTTACCTGTGTTTATGGGAGATGCAGTTTTAGCTGGCTGTTTTGGTGTAAAGCACAGATAAAATGTTAAAAACACAGAACTGAAACCATTTTACCTTCCTATCATTGTTGCTGTACATTTAGCTACAACAAAGTTTTTAAAGCATTCTGTTTTCAGTGGCTGTAACATAATTCACATCACAAGTGAAGGTTTTGATATGACACATTTGTTGCRCAGGCACTTGTGGCAGTCCTGCGGTATTTATTTTCAGCCCGAGTATGTAAGCTGATACTAGAAACTGTTCCCTTGCGTTTGCCTGTCATTTAAAGACATAAAATAAAATMAATTTTGTTGAAAAATGATTCACACATTTGTTACAACACCATTTTTTTCCAAACATGCAGTCAGTAGGATATTA